TTCCCCCCCCCCCCCCCATTCCAAGTATTCTCCAAAGCAGTCAGAGGAGCATTTATATCAGTCCCTCACCAATGTGAATTAAGTTAGGATGAAAGTTAAAAACTGCTTATTTCTGCAATTAAGTCTCAGTAATAAATAATAATAATAAATACCTGTAATGCTGATTTTGTATTTTTGTTCTCCTTACTCTTTTAATTCTAAGTCCAAGGTTCATCACATGGCTATACATTAAGGGAGTTGTAGTCCTAACACATCTAGAGGACATCTTGTTGGGGAAGGCTGCTTTAAGATATATTTGTTTTAAAGTCCTGCTGTTCTTTTTTGACAGAGGTGATCAGAATAAATTTAACATATTTTATGAGCTTTGGCATTTGTATATTTGAGGGGTGTGGGAAAGATGGTCTATGCATCTTCTTCTAATGCTTAGTTTCCCACATTACTGACTGGCTTTTCGCTTACTTTTTGTTCCATTGCATTACTAGGGAGGGGGAAAAACACACAAATATATAGGCACATGACTTACAGGCAAACAACAGATACCTGATTAAAAAGAGTGATTTGTAAAGAACTCAAAGGTCCAAGATCTTGTTTGAAGATTCCATTTGCAAACAGACAAGATAGTCCTGAGCATTTACGATTAGACTATTAACAGAAATAGGAAAGTTTTGCCAGCAGTTTGCAATGGAAATGCTTACTTGCTTTGAGCAGTATTAAATCCAACAAAGCCCAGTTCATATACTTCTGGTAAGAAAAATACAAAAGTGTAAGTGACTAATTTTTATTATTTTTCAGTGTTGGTACATTCAGCAAAATACTCCTGAAGTGACTGGTTCTTCTAGAATTGGAGTTGATGTCCTCAAATCCCCATTAACATTAGTTTGTTAAAGAATACCCCCTTGGTATCCACTAGACTTCCTATCCCCCTCACTTTTAATTTTTTTAAATATTTTCATTTTTAAAAAGCACATATTTGGAGGTGCCATGTTGCAAAAGAACAACTTCTGGCATCATCTTTATTTATAGGAGTTTATCTGGTTCATACATGGTCCCAGGGGCATTCTTAGGGAATAAATATGCACTCCAGTGCTTTGTTTGGAAGCATGTCCACCTGCTCATGAAAAGACAAAGGCAAGCTGGGTAGTAAAAAGATTCCTAGGGGACTGAAGTGGGTGGCAGAGAGCAACTTCACCTGTTTTTGTAAGTGGGTATTTTATTATTAGTCATACCTACCATGGCAGGTGATTTGTGAATAGACAAGCGTTTGTATGACAGTCATTTTATAAGAGTAATCACAACATTCTTTCAAATTTCAAATGTAGTAATTATCCCTATCCCTCCTTAACAAAATTTGGGACCTGTTTTTGTTTTAATATTTATTCAATCCTTTAGGATGCCTCTGGAAAAACAGGTGGCAGGTGCTGGCAAGGAAACAGTAGAGCTAACACATCTTACCCCCCCAGTCCTTCAGTGAGCAGCAGAGAGACTGACAAAGAAGACATTCCTAAATATCAGGTAACCTGAATGTGACAGCTGTCATCTATGTACAAATCCAAGTTGCATGATCTGAAAACTAATCTTTACACTGAATCCCTACCTATTTCCACAAGACCCTTGCAAAGAAGTAGTTTATAATTTGCATGGGGGAAGGGAGAAAAATATATGAATTGTTATATGAGATTAAATATTTTTGTAGAAATATATATCTTAATTTCCTGTGTGGCAACTAGCATATAACCTCTCAGGAAGAAAAAAAAAAATCTTTTTTTAAAAAAATATTTATTTAATGCTTTTAAAATAATAGCAAAAAAGAAAAACAAAACACAAAAATAATTATAATGCAAATACATACATTCTCAAAAAAAAAGCATACAAAGTGCTTTAAAAAGTGAAAAAATACAACAGAAAAAAGAAAAAAACGAAGTATATCATTTTAACAGTTACTATTATATATATACTTATTTAATGTAAATATTATTCAAGTACAGTGGTACCTCTACTTACGAATGCCCCTACTTACGAATTTTTC